TACCATAGAAGATGAATTTCATTTTGTTTTAATTTGTCCCCTATACAAGGACTTGAGAAGTAAATATATTAAAAGTTACTACTGGAAAAAACCATCCGCATTCAAACTAGTTCAATTATTAAGTGTACAAAACTTTTCTGAGCTTTGTAATTTAGGTAAATTTCTGCATTTAGCTTTTAAGTTAAGAGATGAAAAAATGTGATTCATTCTTCGTTTGTCCAGTCATTATTTCAGTATATTTATTAACATTTATTATGTGTTTCAAAGTTTTTATATCTAATGTATAGACGCGCCACTTCAAGTGACTTCATTATAGGCGCTGTTTTCTTCATGTATTGATACCATACCATACCGATTTGTTTTTTCTCAATTATATTTGTATTAAATTGTGATGATACGTATGTATTAAGCAATAAAGAATAATAAAAATTATAAAACGTGCATGTTCTGTACTTGCATGCATGTACATTATATGTCTCCGTAAAACCTTAATGAAGCATTACGAGAGCTGATAAGAAAAAATAAACGGAAACCTGCTCGCAAAAAATTACAAGTTTAATAGAAAATAAGTATTTGTTCGAGGTTAATTAGTTGTCCAATGGAATAAGTTATGCATGTGTGTCTCAATCTACATACTTTGGAGGCGCGTGTGAATGTGGGATTTTGTATTTATGTATTCCGATAAAACGCTCGATATTTTTATATTTGGGACGTATACAGTTGTACATTTTAAGAACGACGACAAAAGAACGTATATTGACTTACATACATGTACATTTAAGTTAAGATACAAAAAATCTATCACTAGTAGAAATTAATCAAAGGAGCATATTTTCGATGGTATTTGAAGTGAAACAGATCATGACCTCGATATCGAGAAAAACATTTGCTTTAAAAAAAATAATTATATGCAACTTTCGTTTAATTCAGCAAATAAATTATTGAATGAAATGCACTAGCGACATAATCAGTCAAAGATACTATGTAATAATCTGAAAGATTCAACATATTAATTCAATTTATCCATTCTGTGGTTTCTTTGTGTATATGACTGGGGGTCGCTGGATAACACGCCGATTAATTCCCGGTGACCGACTTTGCCCCGCGTTATCGAGGGAGGCGCGTTATATAATTGTAAACAAACAAGGTGAATGTAAAAGGCGTGCACTTAATGGCTGTGAATAGTATATGCTTTACAGTTATGTTTTATTTTCTCACTATATTGTTTGTTGTTTTTATATGATAAGAAGAAAAGAAAATATTATCTTTTCTTCCATTTTTAGTAGACTTGATTTATACGATTAAAAAAAAATGAAATAAAAGGGAAAATTGTCAGTGAATAATCATGATAATTTGGGGGAAAACACAAAACACTTCAAGAACCTTATTCTAAAAAATATAAGCATCCAATGTAGCCATGTTTATCATTTATAGTAAGTTTGTTTTGGTTTACACGCATGAGGAGCTCGCGTTTACGTGCTGAGTGAAAAGAATTACCTGTACATGATATATGGGTCATGTATCTAGCTCATTTAAAACAAGACTCGAACAAAACAATTTCATGAGATAATAAGATGTTAAAGCAAACCTTCATAATCGACAGTCATTCCGAAATATTTACCTTTTTTGAGTTATAAAGCAAAAACTTTCAAGGGCCCTAGATCCCTAATTTTAGGGTCAGCCCCTTTTAAATGATATCAAATGAAAGCTCGTGCAATTATGCACAACTTTTATTCTACATGTCTTAACAAAATATTTTTAGTTTTCAAGATAAAAAGGAAAATATGTGTTAATTTTCGCTCTTTTAGGCGTTCTAATTTTTGACCCCTATATAGCGCCATTTTGAATACAGAAATCGAAAAACAAAAACCGATGTGCACAACTTCAATCCTTCTGTTATCTAAAACCAGTAAAATTTCTGCTCCAGCTTTTGTGGTCTCTGAGCCTTTGTCTGGAAATGAAAGCCTATAAATTTTCGTTTAAAGGGAAATAACTCAAAACCGGAAGTGACTTTTTGAAATTTTAGACAGCATTCTGATAGAGTTTATTATCGTCTATAATGTCTGAAAATTTGAGCAAAATCCATCGAGAAATGAGTGAGATATGAGGCCTCAAAGTTGGCGTCTAGGAAGAAAAAAAAAAGAATAATAAGAATAATCTTAATCATCAGAATCAGTAGAAATTATTTATGCACACTTTTTAAGGTCTTCCGTTTCCAACGGAAGACCTTAAAAAGTGTGCATAAATAATTTTAAGCTAAAGACTCGATAGTCAATTAAGAAATTTTAGTTTTGAAAAATCAGAGGTTATGAACTACGACGCTTTTTAAAATGCTGCATATTTCACGAAACCCTTTAGAGTACATGTTCTTCATGAACTTTCAAAAATGAAATTCATATCTGATATTAAAATTACTTATACATTGTATTACTTGCCATAACTCTTTGTCAATGAACTATCATTGAAAAAACAATTCTTACCAAGTCAGCAGCAAAATATGAGAAATTATCATATTTTAATGTATTAAGAGAAATAAGGGGGAGCTATTTTGAAAGTCAGATATTAAAGACTGAATGCAAATACAAGCGCATACATGTACCTCAACAAGTACAGATCTGTTTAATAGATTGTTTTAGATTACATATAATTTCAATAAAGATTGAACTCTTAAATGTAATTGTATGTTCAATGGTTATTTGTAAATTTCTTTGTTAAATATCACTCTAATTGTATACAAGTACTCAGGAGCTGATGATGAAAAACTGCTTGAGTTTATGATTGTCAATGTCTATAAAGGTTTTGGAGATAAGGTGTTCTAGCAATCTATTGAAATTACCATGAGTATCAATTGCGTTCAATTATTAGCAGATCTAGACCTATTATTGTATTCATATATGAAGCAAAGTTTACTTAAAAATCTTTATGAGAAGAATAAAACATACACAGAGTTTGACACATATGTTATTATTTGGATATTTTACTAGACAAAGACGTTAATGATAATCTAACAATAACGCCTCATGATAAACGAGATGACTTTAACTTTTCAATCTTGATCTTTCCTTACTAATATAGCAATATATCCTTATTACATGCATATGGGGTTAGTGTCTCTCAGTTGATCGATACGCATGGAAATGCTTTACAATAAGCAATTTTTTAAAAAAAACGGTGTAATTAATTGACAAACAAGTTGATGAAGGATTCATCAGTCTCGTTTAAATTATTAATATTGCAATTTCTTTGGTCGATACATTGACCTTGTCAGAAAATAGAATCTGAAGATATCATTAAATAATTACTAACTTTTTACACACTAATTGTAAGGCAATTATTTACACAATGAATCGGCTGGGTTTTTCCCTACACTGTCCGGATGTCCACTTTATAACTATATTTCAAATTCCTTTTTTTTTAACTCAAAGCAAAAAGGATGTTGCTAAAGGAGTGAAGAGAGTTGAAGTAATTTAGGAAATTATATATGGAATACCGTATATACTCGCCTATAAGTCAGTCCGCCTATAGGTCGGTTGTATTTTTTGAGGTTATTTGGGAGGGATTTGCCATTGACCCGCTTATGAGTCGGTACAATTTTTTACCAGAATCAGATGCTAATTTTTAATAAATGCTCTAATATTTTACCCTGATTTCAATTAATATTCTTAGAAATGAAGTCGATATTTAACTTTAAATTAAAAAAAAATGCCTTCTTAAGATTAAAAGAAAAATAAAATTATAAAATACATGTAGTTTATGTATAATTTTATTATACATAAATTATTTTAATATATCCAGATTTTGGCTGTTGAAATTGATTATAGTTCTACGATTCGCAATCCAGAAAAATACGAATTTTTTAATGACTCGCCTATAAGTCGGACATAGACTTTTACACTAAAATCTAACTCCCAAAATACCGACTTATAGGCGAGTATATACGGTATTTGTAAAGATCAGATCACGAACAAAGGCAAAATTACTAGAATAAACTGAATATTGCCGACCATGCGTTTTTCTGCATGAAGAATACATGAAGGATTTCATAGAAGGCTTAAAAAGAGACTACAAAATAACATTTCTCAAAATTATCACGGTCTTTTAATAAGTGTATTGTGGGTACATTTTAAGGCATTGTTTTTTTCTTCCTGAAACACTTCAACCTAAAAGAAGACGTTTTTCAAATGCTAAAGTATAAAGGCCTAAATAATGAATAAAAAAGCAGTCATATATTTAAGGAATAATTGTCTTATTTTTCGATTTTATGATGTGATCAATGGATAGGCTTGCATGATGAATTGCATAAACGCCGAAGGCGTTTATGCATAAATTATCACACAAGCCAATCCATTGATCATCATCATGAAATCGAAAAGTCTGACAGTAATTCCTTATATTTACATGATATTGATTCCGCCAATCCACGTGCTAGAAGCCCAGCTTCTTGACTCTATTTGTCCCGCCCTGCATGTGTTTTTTTAATCGCGCCTATCGATGAACCGGTACATTGATGGATAAATAAAGTATGTTAATTATTTGTAATTTTATCGCGAACAACGACATTGGAAATGTATATATTTAGGGGTAAACTTCCTTTTTTTTTATAAAATGAAAAGACACCCCTCCCCACCCCACCTCCAAAACAAACTACAATAAAATATTTCTTAAAAAATCAATAAAAATATAAACATTGCTAAAAGTTAAGAAAATGTCGTAATACATGTAGATACTTTTTTCTATTGACATAAACATACATTTCAAATATTCTTTATTCTCGTAAGTGGATTTTACTTCTATAAGAATTGATTTTATCTTCATTATAAAAAAAGAGCAAAAATATAAAAGAGGAAGTTAACTCACGTCAATAAGAGAAAACAGTTTTGATATTTGCCAACTCATGTTTTAACGAATTTGCATCTTGCGCATGTGTCATACAATATAAAAGGTCAAAGTTTATATGAAAATGTATATAAGGCTAAATATTCTCTTGGATCGCTATCATTTCTCTGATTTTCAAGATGAAGAAAGCACTGCGGTTTACGTTATTGTTTGCTTTTCTCATTCAAATAAATGGATTGTCTATATTCACGGACAGCAACAGTTCATCTTTACTGGACATCAGTGACCCGGACTCCAAAAATACAGACGTCTTCCGACAGTTACTGAACCAAGAAACGATCATCAGAATGTCACTGGTGAAGAACGTTCACGCCTTAATGAAGGACATGCTGGATCTAAAGAAAAGTATGGAGACATTGGAAACATCCCAACAGAAAACAGACGTAGACGTGGCCACCTTAAAACAGAAGGTTGATAAACTGAAAAGAGACAACCAAATACTTGAGCTTGAAAACAGGCGATATGAAGAAACTTTCAGAGCTGTTACAGAAAATTTCACCAAAGTCGACGAATACATTCAACAGGTTTTGGAAAAGTTGGAGGAGAAAAGAGAACGTTTTGAGACAAATACTAGTGTAGTACTTGCAGATCTTAAAATGGAAGTTAGGTACCTGTCAGTGACTCTTCTGGATTTGAATAAACACACTTTGGAAATTGACAAGAAATTTCCAGAAATGATGCAGGAAAAATATGAACAGTTATCTTTGAGATTGAACACCTCTGTGGAGAACCTGGGGAATGATATAATGACAACAAATAAAACAATGTTAAAATCAGTGTCAGACCTCGAAAACTCACAAAATATTATGCAAAATTCTATATCTGGTAAGTTCGTTTTTTTGCTTTATATAAGCTCTTATAAATAGTACTGCATCTTAATGGTAGAAGGAATTGCATAAAGCGTACATTTTTCAGAAATATGGTCTCTTGAGAATTATGTTTCCTCAAAGTTTTACTTTTCAAAAACTATTAATTACACTATATCTTTTATCAAAAGTTTCTCTAAATGGAGAAAAAGGTACATAAAGTAAATGAGCATTTAAAGTAAAGTTTGATTTCCTTTTATTTTAGGTTCATCAATGATTGAGAACATTTATAAATAAATGTACAACATAAAATTAAATAAGTAGTATTTAGAAATGCATAATCTATCAAGGTTTAGATGTAAGTCATTCCTATGGTTTTACAATTCAGTAGTTAAGTAATTGAAAATACTCATGAAAAGTGTTACTGAGCTCACAAAGCAATTTGTATTTACCGATAATTTTTCTTTAGAAATGTTCATTATAAATAATCAATATTTAATTAATGAAAATTATTTAATCTCAAGCATATTTTAAAGAAAAAGTCTTCTTAAAAAAATAGATTTTTAGTCTTGAAAAATTAAAAAATAATGCACTAGAAATTTCTCTGAAGCTTCATTTTGATGATTCTCAATTATCCTATTTCCATTTTTTTCTTTTAAAGTATTTTATCAAAAAGTTTTAAACATTGTTTTTTTGGGATAAAAATATATCTAATTAGTAATTGCAGCATAATGTGTTGAGTGATATAATATGTTGGATGTTACTTAAAATTTTACATCTAATTCATCCACATTCATTAATTATAATGATAATAATTAACAATGATCGTAAAATGCACATGTTTTATGTCGAAAAAATTATTCTCTTTACACTTTAATTTCAGTGAACATCAGTAAAACGTTAGAGGACATGATGGCGGAAGTAAAACAATCTAAAAATGACCAACTGCAACTGAGTTCTGCAGTGTCCTCTCTTGAGGTGTTCCGAATGAATGTGACGAATAACATATTAGGTAATAACTCAAAATAAATGAGAGAATAGCAGGTAAGAAGTGATAACACTATACGAGGTCGCACTTTGCGATCTGTAGCTTCAAATCCTCCATTTTTTTAATCTTCTAATTTCTTTCTGCAAAAACAAGTAACTGGTATTTAGGTATTATGTATCAACTTTTGCTAAGTTTTGATTTGATGCATATATCATAATTCCTTGGATCTCCTTTAATACCGTATAACTGGATTTTTCTACGGGGTGCTACTTTTTGCGAAATTCTGCGATCAAGTCTTAATCGCAAAAAATTCAATCGCAAAAAATACGTAAATAAAATCCAGAATTTTCAGTTGCGATCATCGAAGTTCTATTTTTACAGATACCGGAAGTATATGTAAATAATGCCATTGCACGTTTTCAATCGTATTTTACAGGTAATTTACTTGATATCAACAACAATGATTGTTTTTCGAATAAATATAAACGAATTCCTAAAGATGCAATATTTATTTGTTCCTACATTGTATTTCATGATTTATTTATATGAAACCCGAATAGCAATTGTCGGTTTGGCTATTCCGCGGCTTGATCGGGTCCTTCACCAGTGTTTACCAGATTTTTCTTAATCGGTATTCTGTCCTTGAGAAAAGAATTTCTTGTGTAATATTTCCCCTACTGGGATTATATAAACTCTTTATAATCATAAATGAAAGTTCATAGTCTATGGGAACTTACTGAAACGAACTTTTATAAATTAATTTCAAAGAATTATCGTCTCGGTTTCAATTCAAAATAATTGTGACTGTTTCTAATTTACCCTGTGAATAATAACCCATTAATTATAACAACACACGGACGACCCACAGGTGTAGTGTCATCTATGTAAACACCCAATTAACAGCCCAAGGCCTTCACTGTTTCCAGGTAAGTCCAGACTGCATCTATTTTACGCTTGATTGGCGTGTATACAAGCGCAATCAAAACTTCGAGAGATAGAGAGTAAAATTCAATGAAATATGTGTAACGGGACCCAGAATTTGGTTCGAGAGATAGAGAATTTCGAGAGATAGAAGTTCGAGAGATCAGGTTGCTTAGTTATATAGAGGAAAAAACGGGACAATAAGTTAATAAAAACAACCAACCTTTAATTATGTTTGCAGATAAATCAAAGAAGGTAGGTTTCTCCGCTTCGATGTCATCTAGCAGCTCATCATGGAACAGTGGAACCTTGGTATTTCCTTCTGTCATCACAAATGAAGGAAATGGATACAACCCGAGTAATGGAATATTTACAGCTCCTACCGCCGGGATGTATGTCTTCTTCGTGAATGTTCAGAGCAATAATAAGCAAACAATTTTTGTAGACATTGTGTTGAATGGATCAACTAAGGTCAGAACTATGGCTTATAGTTACAGTAATGATGATTATTACGACGCGGGTCCTAATCTGGTGGTTCTAACTATTCAGAAGGGTGACGCAGTGTGGGTCAAATATTACTCTGGAAAAGGTTATTATACTGATGGCCCACTTACCACTTTCTCCGGTTTTCTCGTATAAAATTGTACATAACATGTTCAATGTGTCTGCGATGAAGACTATATACATATGAAAATTGCATATTTACATATACATGACTAATCTTTTCATTCCTTTGCTTCAATAGGTTATGTTTCAGCATAAATGATAAACAGCATACCAACGTCATTTGATTCTTTGATTCATTTATTTTTTATGCATCATGTAATCTTTAGATAAACATTAGAGAGGACAGCAATTGTTGAATGTATCTTTTGCTACAACATATTTGAATAAACAGTGATTGTTTTTCGATTTGAAATTTTCAGTACTTTTAATCCTTTTCTTTGATGAAACAAAGAAAGAAGATGAAAAATACAAAGTAATATGAAACAACTCTGAATAAAAACTCTCAGTCAATTCATATTGTCATTGTTTTTTTTTTTTTTTGAAATACTCATTTTAAAAAGTGTTCAAAGACCCAAAATGAGTTTTTTCCAGTGGAAGTTATTATACACCTGGTTTGATGTACCGTGAGATGTAAAATTAAGATTGATTGTATATTGTTTAACGTCCCTCTCGAGAATTTTTCACTCAAATGGAGACGCCAACACTTGCCAGTGGATAGCTGCAAATTTTTGTCCTATACTCGGCACTAACGGCCACTGAACAGCGAGAGATTTTTTTCTTGTCAGCACCTACTGCGGCACGGGACTTCAGTGTACAAGGTCTCATCCGAAATACCTGTCTCCATTCTCTACGTCCCACAGTGGAATTCGAACCCGCGACGTAAGAATCATCTCCTTGAGACTCTAGAGCAGACTCTCTATACACTGCGCCACGCGGGGCAATAAAATTGAAGAAAAGGAAATCTAAAGTAAAGGACACGATTGGAAACAGATAATTGTATTCTATTTATCAAATCAGACTAAAATTAATCAAGTGAAAATATTATGGACAAGTTTTGTATTGTAGGAACACCAATATATGATAATTTTTCTCCTTTTCAAAAAAACAAAAACAAACTTTCTTTGATGTTTGAGCTTTCTTTGGGTTCATTGATACTCTAATAAGAGAGATAACATTTAATGACATAAATGTCTATTTTTCTTTAACAAGTTTGCCAAATTGAAGTGTCTTTTTTGTCCAATTTTGCCCTTAAGCTATACTATAATTGTTTGTATTTTGTTTAACAAATACATTTCTATTGGAAAATCATTAAAGTGAAGAAAAAAAATTATATGAGTGAGCAGAAGGTTTATGTACCCTACTGTGTATATCGGGAACTTTGAAGTTATCTGGCTCCTACCTTTTAACACGCATTGTCTGTAAGCACCAAAAAAAAAAAAGATTTAAAAAAAAAAATTGTGGAAAAATGGGGAAGTTGGCATTTTTGAGACCTTTAAGGCTAAATAAGAAAAATTGTCCGCGGAAAATTTCCAAATCTTATGTCTGTTATTATACTTGAGAATAAGTAGTGTCATCTCATGAAAAAACTCAGTAACATGTATCTATAAATAGATATATTTTAGAAAATTGTGAAAAATAAAATTTTGGCAAAGTTTTAAATGTCATTGCTGCAGAATTAGGAAGTACAGCTCAACGCACTTTTAAACTCACATGGTTTTTCGCACAAATTAAGGTTACATTGTTATAATGCAAAATTGTGTAACGTGACAAAAATATATATATTTCAAAAATGATTTCTAACTTAATTTTGATCATATTCTATTACTTTAAACATAATTCACACATAATGATTGTTAGGATTTTTATATGCTCTTGGATGATTAACCCCCTCCCCATAAAAAAATCCGTAGACAATTCTGTGTGTAAATACAAGTAATGGCCTAATAATTAGTATGAAAAACGTCAGTCAGCATTTGACTTAATGATAGGTTGTATCTCAGACAAGGTCATTGTATCGACCATTAAACTTGTAAAATGATGACTTCAGAAGAGACTGTACATACAGGGTGTTTCAGAAAACATGCAACCATTTATTTTCCTCACCATATTGCTGTGCAATATATGAAAGTATTATATTAAATTATGCTAAAAGGGCATATGTTTTTATCAATATCAAAAGTTTAGAAAATAATTACCAATTTAATTAATTATGACGTCATATTTGACATCATTGAAAAAAAGAGAGTTCAAAGTTTTTAATGTTGAATTTACTAAAATAGCAATCATCAGGAATTCCGATACTGCTTAAGCAGAGCATGTCACCACTTCATTTAATTACGGTAGTGCATGAAAACAAGGTTTACAGAGTGCAAAAAACTTACTAAAAGCAATATAAAGTGGAAGTTGTTTAAATCTGTTAAATTTTGTAGCTAATGGAATAGTTAGAACTTGATCAAAGAAAAGGGGAAAAAATGAAGGAAAAAAAAAAAAAACAATTAGAACACATGAAAACATTTTGAATGTTACTAAAGTCTTTAAAAGGCATTGTTCCAGAGACTTTCATGAAATCCTTTTGTAAAATGACTCAGTTTGTGAATAAATTGAGTAAGTAAAGTGTAGATCAGATGCTGAAATGCGTTTTGAATCTTAAGCGTTTGACTTGTTGAAACAAATGCTAGCAGAACCATTCAACTCTCAAATCCATTAAATTGGGCTCCACACTCACCCGACTTAACCCTCCTTAAATTTTATCTGCATCTGGGGATACTCACATGTAATGGTCAAAGTTTTTACGCCCCCCCCCCCCCCCCAACAAAAAAAGGAGTGAACTCAAAATAGTTTGAAGAAGGATATGGAAATAATGAACAGTATTCAATCTCAACGTCCATTAAACAATATACTAAATAAGAGCAGAGCAAACACGGACCTCCGAAACATCAGAGGTGGGATCAGGTGCCATGGAGGAGTGAGCATCCCCTGCCGACCGGTCACACCCGCCGTGAGCTCGTTGTCATGATCAGGAAATAACGGAAAAAATCCGTCGTCAATTCAGTGTATAAATAATGGACTAACAATTGGTATGAAAAACGTCAGTCAGCATTTGACTCAATGATAAATTGTATTTGCTGACAAGGTCATTGTATCGACCATAGAATTTACGAAATGATGACTTTAAACGAGACTGTTGATATTCTTGTTTCATCTACTTGCTTGTCAATAATTTACCTCGTTTAAGAAATTGTTCATACGTAGAGCATGCTCTTGCGTATCGAATCAACTGAGATATATATACTCCGTATGCATGTGATGAAGGTATATTGCTGCACAAGTAAGGGAAGTTGACGATAGAAAAGTTAAAGTCATCACGTTTATCATATAGCTTTGTTGTTAGATTACCATTAGTGTCTTTTTCAAGTAAAATATCCAAGTATGAAGCAGAAGTGTCGGACTCTGTGGTATCTTTTATCTCAAGCTCACCAGGATATATCGTGTCGACGTAGGAATGGAAATTATCATTATTAATTGACAATACGTCGTCGATATATCTAAATGTCGAGTTGAAGGCCACAGCAAGTGTTTTCTTCTTTTCACGCATAAGATTTTGCATAGATTGTGCTTCATATGAATATAAAAAGAAGTCTGCTAATAACGGATAAAAAAAAAAGAAAAAAGAAACATGTTTCATTTCCAGGAGACTCTTTGCAATAGTAATTAATTAGAACTTACTTGCATCGGATAGATATATATTTTTTAAGCAAAAATGACGCAATTTAGAGCATATCTTTTAACTAAATGAAATTTTACAAGTTTCATTTTTCTTTTGTAATTCATTACCTTTTTGCCGTATTGATTTTATTTTTTACAAGAACAAATCCTAAAATTGTGACTTTTAATTAAGGAATGACTCTAATTCTTGACCATATTATCGAGTATAATCTGGTTTGGGTCAGTTTACGCTTTATAATCCGCGAAGCGGATTACAAAAAAGCGTAAACTGACCCAAACCAGATTATACTCGATAAATTATCGAGTATAATCTGGTTTGGGTCAGTTTACGCTTTATAATCCGCGAAGCAGATTATAAAAAATCGTAAACTGACCCAAACCAGATTATACTCGATAATATGGCCAAGAATTAAAGTCATTCCTTATAATTTAATTTTAAAATAATTAAACAACTTTTGATTTAAAATTGTGTTGCTTTTTATAAGTTCAAATTTACCGCGCAATAATACATGTCCCCATGAATGTCCCCATACCAAAACAGATTATACAAAATGTTATGCGTTCCTTTTTGGAAATCAACCAATGAGAGGCGAGAATACAAATAAAATTAAATTATTTAGATATGTTGGTGCATGGTATTGGTCAAAACACCTGTAAAATCTAATCAATCAAAGTTGTTGCATGTTTTTCTGCTTGTTTCATCAATATGTTTTTCAATTATTTACCTCGTTATAAAAAAAAAAATCAAAGGTAGAACATCTTCTTGCGTATCGAAGAAATTGTAAGATAAAACCCAATATGCAGGTAATAAGGGTATGTACATGTACGTGTATATTGCAACATAAGTAAGGGAAGTTGACAATTGAAAATTTGAAGTCATCATGTGTATAATAAAGTTTTCCTGGTAAAATAATCATGTGACTGACAAGTATAAATACTAGTTACCATTATTTGACACCCATAAAAACAATAAGGATTTCCAGTTCTATTTATACTTGACATATGCGAGATCAATAAGGATCTCTAGTTCAATTGATAGCAACAAAATTATACAAAAGGCTAGAGGGTCTCAACAATCATCTGAGAAGAACCCTGTAATGGATCAATAAAACGGCAATTTAAAAAGAGACTTGTTTCCCTAGTATCTCCTTTTGCTTAAGGGGAATATCCATATGTTGGGTATTAACAAAAATCCTTTGATACTCGGTGACAAATTTGACAAAAAATTTCCAAAAGGTTCTTGAAATATGGTGAATATTAAAAAAAGTTATACAGACCACAGAAACTGCCACAGAATACGCTCTTTGAGTCTTTGATTAAAAAATCTTTGGACAAAATAAGCCTGTAAACTTTAATTCTCTTTCGCTGCCCCACCCAAACCCAAAGAATTATAATTTGAACAATTTGAAATATACACTTCTCCAGGATGGTTTCACATAAATTTCAGCTTTTCTGGTCCAGTGGTTCTTGAGAAGAAGATTTTGTAACGACCCCGGATGCTAACTCCTCATAGGTACCTTATTCTTCCACCAAAGCTTCCCGGGGAACGTGCTTTCTGCTCTGTTTACAAATCATTATTTTTTAAAGTGGAGATCTATCACTGTTAGTTATCCTAGTTTTCATATTGCCATAGCTAATGAATGTTCCTTTTGAGAAAAATGATGGGTAAACTCTTTTTTTGTTTTACAGAAGAAATATCACATTGTGTTTTTCCATGAACTTTTCCTAATATATATTCAATAACGAATATATTTTCCTGAAAAAAACTTACCAATGTACATATTACATAATATGTACGAATTTACATTTCCCCCATACTTTTATACTTAGTAATGTAAAAGGTAAAGATATCGAACAGTGATCGATCTAAAATCCAAACTCTGATCAGAATCAGAATCTTTTTGCGTATTATCAATTTTGTAAAACTGGTTTAACGATAAAAGGACAAAAAATAGGCAAACTGACCATTGAGGAAGGAGGGACAGCCGTTGGAATGATGATATCTGGATCATCCTTACAATACGTTTTACTCACTTTTATTTCAGTGTTTATTTTTTCCTTGATATTACTTTAAAAAAATTAACAACCAGTATACGGTAAAAACCCAGTTATACATATTTTTCTATAGGTTGTGCGTCAATTTCATCGCAAACATCACGATTTGAACAAATTTAATCAAACCGGCAGGGATTTGGATATTCGTCTAAGGCCAAGGTTTCGCGTCACAACCAGGTTAAAAGATAATTACACAATCCTGAACTACTTTAGACCAACAACTTCAATGGTAAGAAAATGGCAACATAATGGTGCTCATGGCATTCCAGTATCTTCTTAAACACTCTGAATCATCCTTAAAGAGGGACACTTACGTGCGAAACGCCCAAGGATATTGACCAAAAGGTATCTTTGTGATGCTCTGGCCTGCCAAATCCCCGGATCTGAATTCATTTGAACACATTTGGGATTTTTGAGAGGAATGCCACTCCCCCCCTTTCCTCCACACAATTTTAACGGTTTAGAAAAATCCTTGCAGAGTGGCAGCAGATGGGTCAATCTCCTATTCAGGGGTACATGGTATCCATGAAAAAAAGTGAGTGGTGGTCTCACTCCATAGAAATTATTTTATGTGAATTTTCGTTTTGAAGGTACACCATGTCCTTGACACTTTGCTTTAAAATCTGACGAGATACTTACATGAAATTTACGCATCATCGACCTGAAATATGCCTCATTAACCATGAATTAAAGAAATAATGTATTGTATGTATTAGTTCTTCATAACTTAAAAAATGTCAGGTGAACACTTAAAAGTTTGGTTCATTTTATAAACAATACCTTTGTTGTCCTCTAATTTGTTATTGAGGCTATTGACTGTACTATCTAATACTAACAGATACTGTTTATTTGATTTTAAACTTTAAATATTGATCAATTTTTGGAGTGTTTAGGGTCGCAAGAATGCAGGATTTATTTTTTGATTTTGCAAAAGCATTGTTTTCTGAATTAGCAGAAAATCAAGTTCTTCGATTACAGTTCTTTTTAAAGAACAGTAGAGAAATCGTCCATTTTTTTTTAAATGTCCCGAAGAATAATCTATGGGGTCCAGTATGTATGATGTAAAGATTTTGGATGTTTAAATGGCCCACCATCAAAAACATGACCTAACTTGAAATTTTGTTCCATTATCGACATGTTAAGAGAAGCCCTTCTAGGTTTATGTCTAGCGTTCTTCATTACATACATAATTCTGATTGAGAAGAGGATCGATAGCTTAACTTCATCAAATACAGATCTGAGAAAGAAAGTCGAACACCTCATCACTGCGAATCAGAACTTGGTAAAAGGATTTGAGGGTAGGTAATCATGTTCTTCTTCTTGAGAACCTACGAGTATGCTAACATATCGTCACTGCCTTATAGCAGAACACAACAATTGCATTGACCGGTCACGGTAGCTTAGTGGTAGAGCGTTCGCTTCGTGATCGGGAGGCCCAGGTTCGATTCTCGATCGCGGCGCCGCGTCATACCTAAGACGTAAACATAGGTAGTGACTGTTCCTTCGCCAAGCGCTCGGCACTAGAAGTGAAAGTCACGGGTCTTTCGGACATGACCTTAAAAACGTAGGTCCCGTGTCACGGTAGACGTTGGCACGATAAAGAACCCTCACTGCTCAATGGCCCTGAGTGCCGAGTATAGGTCTAAATTTGAAGCCCTTCACCGGCATCGGTGACGTCTCCATATGAGTGAAAAATTCTCAAGAGGGACGTTAAACAATATACAATCAATCAATCAACAATTGCATTGCGTCAACCTTCCATTACAATATGTCAACTCTTTATGACATTTTGTCACACTACTATTGCATTGTGTCAACCTCCCATTACATAATGTCAACTCTTTATGACATTTACTCACACAACTATTGCATTGTGTCAACCTTCCATTACATTATGTTAACTCTTTATGACATTTACTCACACTACTATTGCATTGTGTCAACCTTCCATTACATAATATCAACTCTTTATGACATTTACTCACACAACTACTGCATTGTGTCAACCTTCCATTATATTATGTCAACTCTTTATTACATTTAGTCACACTACTATTGCATTGTGTCAACCTTCCATTACATTATGTCAACACTTTATGACATTAACCCATACTACTACTGCATTGTATCAACCTTCCATTATATTATGTTAACTCTTTATGACATTAACCCACACTACCCTTGCATCGTGTCAACTTTCCTTTACATTTTGTCAACACTTTATGACATTTACACAAACTACAATTATATTTCGTCAACTTGCATTTCGTTATGTTTACTGTTCATAACATTTAATTAAACAACAATTATATCGTGTTAACCTTCCATTATATTTTGTCAATTCTTAATGACATTTACACACACAACCATTACATTTGCATCAAGCTTACAGTACAAAATATCAGTCTTAGTTTTTTATTAACTGATTAGAAAAGCTCATGTCATACTGTGCGCACTCTTCTACATTATGTCGATTCACTATAACGTTATGCGAACACGGGTATCCTCGGCCTTTATATGAGCTTAACGTATTTTCCGCGTTCCGAAAGCACCAAAATTGGCGGGAGATAGAGAAAACTGTCGTAGAAGAAATTCTCAGCGATTTGGGAATGGCATCTTTAAATGAAAACTTTAAGCGACAAATGATTGACAATCTTGAAACGTGCTAAGCCTTAACATTGCGACTGTGAATTAAATTCATGTCGATATTCAATTGCGTTTACTTTAATCTGATAATTAAATAAATCAAATATTATGAGTCGTGTAACAATTTTTTTTCTTTTTATTTTGATTTTTTTTTTTTGGATAAAAGTCTTAAACTTCTGATCTTACTAAGAACATTGTCATAAGTCTTTTTTTTATCAGTATTTAACTTTCCTTTTTTTAAAGTGTAAACACATCGTATAACACACGTGCACTGGTGGGTTGGGGGGGGGGGGCAGAAATCCCGCCCTACCATCTTTAGTGATCAAAATATACATAAAATTTGATAAATTGATTGGTTTTACTTTGTAGGACATTGCATTAGTTTCACACTAAGTTTAGCTGAATTAAGTTGAAAACTTTTTTTCTATAAAACTCCTAAATCCTGAGAGCTTCCGGGCTTTCATCCCTTGATCTCCAACCATATCGCCCCCTTCCATGTTCAAGATTCCCATATCCGCCACTAATGCATGTATGTGCCCATGCATGCTTTCTAAGGCATGATCAATTGATTAAGATGAGGGACTGGTAGATATTTGTACATGTGATAGAATTCTGACTCTGGAATGGTTGAAAAAATTACTAATTCCAGTGACGTAGCATCTTTTTTGAAAGGAGAGATCAGCCAGAAAAAAAATATTTTCCCGAAAAAACTTGACAAGCCAAAATGAAAAATGTCCAAGCCCGAAAATCCTATTTCGGGGAGGGGGGTCCAACTTCGATCAGTCCTATTTTTTTTTTCAGATGTACTACATTACCCTCAGTGAACTATACTTCAACAAAAAGTGGGAATGGGGGCTGTACTTTCAATGAACATTTTATTTTCTGTAGTAAAGTTATGTCTAGGAAAAGAGGGGGGTTGATATTTTGTGCCTATTATTCTTCCTAATCAACCAGGACCACCCCCCCTTACCAGTCATTAAAACACAGTCGATATACTAGATATACAGCTTTGAGATAATGGAAATGTATTTTTTTACATCAGGTAATGTACTTTTAGAGTCAATATGATAAAGAGTTAACACAATATAAAGATCTTTTAGATCACATAAGAAAGAGTTGACATAACGTAATTATATAACCACATAACGGAATGGAGTTTTGACATAATGTAATAAAGTGTTGATATAATATAAAGATACGTTCACATTATGTTATACACTTTTTACACCACGTAATAAAGCACTGACATAAAGGTAAGATGTGTTCACCTCACATCAAGGTGCTCTCGCCGTAAAATAAAGATAAATCCATATCACGTAATAATGCTTTGATATAATAGGAATATGCAATCTCAAAAAGGAATGGATTTTTTACTTAATGTAATGATAAGTTTAATTATAAAACACAATTTACTTGTAATAATGTAATTTTGACCTCACATATTAAAGAAATGAAATGATGTAAAGAAACATTCTTTTCACGTAATAAAGTTTTAACACAATGTGAACACATTATCACTTTACATAATGAATTTTTTACTTCAAGTTAGGAAGTGCTGACATAATGAAAGGATGTATTTACTTCATGTAATGCAGCATTGACATGATGTTAAGAAATTTTTACATCATCTCATAAAATATCGACATAACGTAAAGATGTGTTCACATCACGTAATGATAAATTGACATCATAAATGCATAGTTGTATGCTATAAGGCAGTGATGGCGTTCCATATATAATATAAAATGATACTTCATCTTGTCATTACTGCAAACAATATCCATCTAGAAATGTTTGTAAATAATAGCAGTATAATTTTGTAAAAATTGAAATGAAAGAAAGATTTTGTTTAATGTATATATCAATTCCTATAAAACAAGGGTCGAATTGTAAAGATCGAAGCTGATTAACCTCCACAAGTTCACACATGATGATTATTAAACAGACACGTTGTTTCATTTTTAAAAAATCTAAATGTGCAGATTAATCTTGACATGGAATTCTTATTGAAACAATTATCTGGTATTCTTATTAACAACAGTATAGTGACAATTTTGTTTCCTGTTGTCCAATACAATGATTTTTTTTTCTATCATACTGATTTCGCTATACGTACTTCATTGTTTTAGACTCGTCAAAGAAGATTGCCTTTACAGCTGGTTCAACAGGTGCTGGAGGAATCGGAAGCGGAAGTACACTAGTATTTCCTGTGGTCATCAATAACGTTGGAGGTGGATACGACCCTGGTACAGGGATCTTTACCGCCCCCACGGCCGGACAGTACGTTTTCTATATCAGTGCCCAGGGGTATAGCAGTGACACATTGTATGTATCTATCGTACATAATGGAGGAGCCAAGGTAATGACAATGTCTGACGGGGGACGGGGTAAAGATTTCTACGATTCTGGATCCAACCTGGTGACGCTGAATCTCCAACAAGGGGACAGAGTGTGGGCAAGATGCCATAGTGGGTCAAATTATTACAGCGAGGGAATACCTATTACAACGTTTTCCGGTTTTCTAGTTTAATAAAATTATGTTTTGGAATATCAGAAACTTTAAACAGATTTTAATCTGTCCTCAGTGGAGAAAGGACATTTGTCAGACTTCGAGGAACTTGAAAGAGCAAGTTTGCAGTACAAAAAGTACTACGAGTATAGATTTTTCAATGCCATCTAATCTTGACTTATTAATTCGGTTGGCGACGAAGCATATTGCGCAGAACGTGTGCATAAATAATGTTAAGCTAAGGACTCGCTTGTCAATTAAGAAATTTCAGTATTGACTAGATGCTGTCATGAGACAGTAATACCCGCACTAAGGTGTTTGCCTCTAAATACACAATCCTACGGGCGGCTTACCAAGGAAAAAGTCAAAATAATTCTATATAATTCAGGCACGTAGCATCGTTTTTGAAAGTGTGGGGGGGGGGGGCAACCTGAGAAATTTTTTTTTACTAACCTAAAAAAATTAACAAGGAAAAAAAATGAAATGGGGGGGTGGGGGTGGGGGGGTGGTGGCCACTTTTTTTTCAAGGCAAAATTACTTTCACTTCCAATTTTTCCCATATTTCCTTGCAATGTATATACTGTGGTTAAAAGTGGGGGGAGGGGGCAACCATCTTTTTAATGGACATTTTCTTATAGTACAGGTAATGTTGGGAAAAAAAGGGGGCAGCCCCCCCCCCCCCGGTTGCTACGTGCCTGTAATTTACATATGTATTCATAAAATTGGGTATGAAATTATCCCTGTGACCTATAACTCAGAACCTCTTATATTTATTTTACATGCTTAATTCATTATATACCAGTTTGAATTCTATTAATAATGTAAATTAGATTTTGATAAATGTTTTGCTCATATTAGGACCTTTTTAAATTTACTAATCCCCCCCCCCTCTCGACACCACAATCACACAGTACATACTTTTGGGAATAGGCTAGATGGAACAGTTTTGTTAAAACAGTGTTTGTTATGAATTAATTTAAAATTTGTTCTTGACATGTAAATTCTGCATCACATCACGTTGCGTCACCCATTATCATATTTTTAGATTAAACTCCATTCGGTACACCTCGGCCGATTCCCACTTCATCTGATAAGGTGACGGAATCGACGGCACGGAGGTTTTCCGAATGGAATATCATTACAACATGCTGCAGAATGGTGTGCTTTGGATTAATTCATTTTGTGTTATAATTGGATTTATATTTCATGAAGTTTACAGGACCTATGGAGGTCGGTAAGTACAAGTTTAAGTATAGTGGGGGTAAAATAAACCCAAACGATTAGGTTAAAGTTCAAAAAGGGTCAAAGATCATCGCATGCCACACTAGACGAATTTCATATTGTGAAGTTATCTCCCCTTGTCGATGTGACATTCAGTTACTGCCAATACTGGTGCGGATCCAGAATTTTTTTCGGGAGTAGGGAGGGGGGTTCACATCTCAGTCAAAATATTCATGCCTAGAATTTCCTGACAAGCAGGAGAAAAAAATCATACACTGAAAACAAATAAACAAAAAAAAAACCCAATGTTTTCTTAGTTAGGGGGAGGATGTCCAAAATCATTTTTTATTTGCTTCAGTATATTCTTGTTTAAATAACAAAGGAAATTCCAGGGGGGGGGGGGGTTCCAATCTCCCTACCCACTCCCTATCCCTGAAATAACAATCTATTTTGTGATTCCAATTAAATAGTATATTTTTTTCCATTTGACTAATTATGTACATATTTTGTTTCTTGTGTTTATATTATGTCTGTATATTTGTCTGCAGAAATTATAACCTTGCCCTTAAGTTTTAAGTGGGATGGGCTATACAATTGGCTTCCACATTTTATAGGTTTATTTCTTGTGATAATTAAGACCTTTTATTTGGGTACCATTAATTTTTACCTCTGATCACTTGACCTAGAATACACATTTTTACAAGAAAAATACCCAACTTTAAACTTGGCCTAAATTTTGATCAGTAGGTGCTAGGGCTTTCATGCTTAACATGTGTATTCATTGTGAACTGTCAACAGGTATAAATATGTTTGACCTTGACCGTAGAGTTTGAACCACTTAAAAAATTAACCTTGGCAATTAACTTTTGAAGAGGAAGTACTAGGGATTACTTATTTCACATGTGCATTCCTTGTGACTAGACTTTTTTCTGATACCAACAATTGAACCTTTTGACCTTGACCTTTGAGTTTGACATATATTTGAGAAACGTTAACTTCAACTTTCGCCATAGGCTACCAGACAGGGACATCAGTGTTTCACAAACACATCTTGTCTTCATTATTATTTGGTGGTGTCTCCATATGACGGAAAAATTCCAATGAGATATGTATTCACAACAAACAAACAAATTACTAAAGAAAATATAAAACATGAATATGTTGGTCATGCATATCTCTGCATGAAAAAAAAC